AATGAGAAAAGTGTCTGAGGCATACTATGGAATGCAGTTCATTTACTATCTACTTTCAATACCAAATAGTAAGTTCAGAACTTCTACTAGTACACTGTTTTTCAACCTTCCATGTATTGTGACCCTCACGTTGTAAAACTATTTTGTTGCTACTTCATAACTATAATTTTGATATTGTTATACATTATAAATATCTGCTACACAGGATATGTTATGCCACAGGGTAAAAACCACTGTACCAGTCGTACCTGGCAGCCACCAACCAAAACCAGCACAGATGGACTGACTCAAGGATCAGCACTGCTCCACAGGAGCAAAGCCACAGGAGTGGTTCATGGATCCCCCATAGCCACTGGCCTCCCCCAGTGTCTGGAAAGCTCAAACAGTATACCAACACGAAGCAGCGATTTCAGTAGAACACAGTTTCATTCTGCTCAGCATTCAGCAGCTCAAGTGAGCCATGAATCAAACCCACATATTAAATGAGCAAAGGCATGAGCTGTCAAGGTGCACACAACAGCCAGTGAATGGAGCTTTTACTAATAGCCGGCACACTCTGTTCTTTGAAAGAACATTTGCTGCTTATGCCAGTATCATTTCACTCAAGCCCCGTATTAGCCCAGGGAATAAGTCATTTACCGCAATCCATCTACTCTGTCTCAAAAGTAGAAAACGGCAGCGCCACAAGGAGCCTGACCTTCTGAGGCCACACACTAATCAATATTTCTCCCACAAAGGTGCCAATAATGATCAGATCTCCAGGTCTACAAACTTCCTAAATGGCTATCCTTCTACTGATGTAAAATTACACTTACTTATTTTATGTGGTTGCACACCCACCATGGTGCCCATTGTGAACATCATAGGATTTATGGAAGTTGGTTCTCTCCTTCTGCCATGTGGGTCCTGGAAATTGAACTCAGGTCCTCAGGATTGGTGGCAAGTCCCTTAATCCATTAAGCTATCTTGCTAGCGCTCTCGATTCTGTAATAGCTTGGTGTTTTTATTTGGGTCCACGGCAAGCTGCTCAACTCCATGAAGAGCACATTTATACGGCACTCTGTATGAGGACAATATGAAGGAGCTGGCTAAGGCACAGGGCCTTGACAGGGTCTAAGACAAAACACTTTAGCTCGGTGTGCTGTTGCACGCCTGTGATTCCTGTTCTTAGGAAACCAAGGCATGAGGAGCATGAGGAGTGTGAGACCAGTGTGAGGCCAAGTAGAACTACACAGCAGAACCCTGCCTCAACAAAACCAAGCCTCAACAAAACCTCCTCCACCACAAACAGGAGCTAAAAGCCCTAACAAGCATTGACTCTGGCAAAATAACCTATCCTCAGGAAAGCTAGTGGGAAGCTGTTGGCAGTTGTAATACTATGATGGGTACACAACCCATTAACAAGTCACTGTCTTCACCGGATGGTCAATGCTTAACAGACTTTCTGGAAACATTTTACTTTTTGGACAGGTTCTCTTGCAACCCAGACTGGCCTCAAACTCGCTATACTTGCTATGTGGCTGAGGACAACCTTGAACTTCCCCATCATCCTGCCTCCGTCTCTCAAGTGCTGGGACTATATTTAGCTATGTGCCACCATGCTTAGTTGATATGGCACTGGGGGCTAAACCCAATACAATAAACCATGCACACTAGGCAAGCACTACCAGGTCAGGAAACATTTTTAATCATCCTCAGAAACTTTTCAAAGTAAAACTTGCGTCCACTGGTCTCTCTTATAACCCACTCGGGGCACAGATGCAGAATGTGATTTTGGAACAAGACGAGCTGACAGCATCTATTCTTCTCTAAATTAGTTAAAGGAATGCTTGAATTTGCTAAGCAGCAAATGACCTAAAACTAGCCTCAATACTCTGTGAATCTATCTAGCCGTCTTAGACTTTATCAGTAGTCCCAAATCAGATCCTATTTCCACTGCCCTTCAGAAGATGTGAATTTCTTATTCCTGACACACAATAATCCACTGAGTCCCCACTTTGGAAATATTTTTAAGTTTTACATGGATCTTCAGAGATTCCCTTTGTATTTGAGAATTCGTTACTCAAGTACACTAATAGCAAACATAGATAACTGTTGTATAAAGATGCTTCAAGAAAGAAAAGAAGCCCAGTTACAATAGAGCTAAGCAATCAAGCTTAACAAACTGAATTCCAGCAGAGTCAGCTCATACTACTAGAACTTGCCATGTAAATTGAACATAATACAACTCATTACTCTGAAAAACTGAAGGCCTTACTGTTGCTGATAACTATGAGATCATATGAGGGGGAAAGCCTTATGCTTATTAAAATGAAATACAGTAAGTCAAGCCTAGGTCAGACCTGTGATCCTAGCTATGTAAGTGGCTGAGACAGAAGCCTGAGTTCAAGGCCAGCCTTGATGAGACCTCAAGTTTATTTCATTGTGTGTTGAACGGCTTGCTCAGCATGTGCAAGGCCCTGGGTTCAATCCCTAATACAAACAAGACAAAACAAAAATCTTATTTCCATTTACCGAGGTTGAGAGAGGTTCATCTTGGGAACACTGTGTGTAATGGAGACACAGAACTCTGACTACTCAGATACTCAAACAGGGTGTTCTTTACTAAGCTTTATCATATGCAGATTTTTATTTTTTTAAAAAATTTATTTACGTATGAGTGTTCTGTGTGCATGCCAGAAGAGAGCATCAGATCCCATTACAGATGATTATGAGCCACCATGTGGTTGCTGGGAACTGAACTCAGGACCTCTGGAAGAGCAGGCAGTGCTCTTAACCACTGAGCCATCTCTCCAGCCCCATGCAGATTTTTAAAAAAAGGTCTGCCTGTAGGTGTTTTGCCTGGATGCATATATGTCCATGCAGAACCTGTGTGCAGAGCGTACAGACGCCAGAAGAGGACGTGTCAGATCCCCTGGAACTGGAGCCACCAATTTGTCAGCCAATACACGGGTGCTGGGAATCCAACCCAGGTCCTCTGGAAGAGTAGAGCTCTACCATGCCGATTTCTAAGTTTCCTGTCTTAATGAAATCTACCTAAATAACTCTAAAACTACCAACAAACTTTTGTTTGTTTGACTTTGCTTTTTGAGAGCAGACCTTATTGTATGGCTCTGGCAGTCCTAGAACCTGCTCTGTAAACCTGGCTGGCCTGGAACTCACCAAGATTTGCCTGCTCTGCCACTGAGTGCTGGGATTTAAAGGTGTACACACTATGCTAGGCTTTTTCTTTTTAATTCCCTTCGAATCATTTCTCAAAGGTAGTATGGACTTCTAGCTGTTGCCAGAAGCAACACACCTACCTCCAGTGGGCTCATTACCACTTCAGACAGCACTGCACTTTATAGATAAGAAAGCCAATGAAACATTCCCTTTTCAGCACTCCAAGTTAAGGCAGATTTAACAGAAGGCACCCCCTGACCCCAACCTCCCCTAGCAAGTGAAGAGATGCAGAGAGTCTCAGCAATCCTTAACACTTCATTTTACCACTAGGATGGCAGAGTCAGGTGGATTCCGTAAATTCAAGGCTAGCCTGTCTACAGAGTTAGTTCCAAGACAGCATGGAAACTCTGCTTGGAAAAAAAAACAAATAAATAAATAATTTTCATAAGCCGGTGATGGTGCAAAAAGCCTTCAATTTCAATACTCGGGAGACAGAGACAGATATCCGAGTTTGAGGCCAGCTTGGTCTACATAGCAAGTTCCAGAACAGCCAGGACTACACAGAAAGACCTTCTCAAAAACCAAAAACAATGAATTTATTTTACATTCAGCTACAGGACTTCTACAGACAGAGGACCTGAGATTTCTAAACCATCGACTGTAATAGTTAGTGGTCACAGAAAGCCAACAAGATGGCTCTGACATTCCAACATAGAGGGAAATCTAGTACATCTTACCAACCAGAGAGAAACAGATTTCAGGACCCTGTCCAGCAGAGGAAAACAAGTGCCCACGAGCAGAGTGGAGGACGGGAGCTCGGGGCATGGTCATTCACTACAATCTTCGAGTAACTGAAGTGTAACACGAATGTATACTCACTATTGAACTGCTTGGACCAGGCAGTAACAACAGAGAACGTCAGAGAAACTGGGTGAGTTCAACATTTGGGAAGTGTTAGGCTCCAAAACAATGTCTACAGAACCATCAGTATTATTATGCAAAGCGTATGAGAGACAGGTAGGGTTCCCTCGAAGGAAAGTGATGAAAAGACTCCATTTTCAGGTGCCCAGGTGAAAATCTCTCAAGAATGATGAGTCCTGTGGCAAGCATTCTGCTAGGAACCAAACCGTCATTAGTTCAGCCCGACTTTCAAAGAAACAGCGAGTTGACAAAGTCAGAGAAGATAAACATCACTGGATAGAAGAAAGTTTGAGCGTCAGGGTAACTTGTCACTAAGTTTCAAGCAAATACAAGGACAATTCTGTTCTAGGCACCATGCCAGGAGCCAGAGAGGGCCCATATTCTTTCTCCAGAGACGCTTAAGTCCTCTAAAAAGTCAGTTTCACAGACAAAACGCACAATATTGCCAGATGGTAGTTTCACGGTCAGAACGAGTCCATCCCACACTCTTCCCAGTAGAGTAAGACTATCGCCAGAAGGAACTCTCGAGGACCACCCACTTAACACCTCCCCTTCTCTCTGCAAAAAAAGAAAATGTCAAATATAAAATATCCTCGAATTTCTTCCAATATGCTTGAAATGCAGCAAGTGGAAAGCCAGGTTTCCCAAGGCTGCAGAAGCCACGTCCAGGGCGTGAGATGGATGTCTGAGGTCTACACCCGAGGGCCCACCAGGAGCTGCTTGGATTTGAACCCCGGATAGTAGGCCTGTGGGTGCAGCCGGGCGCGCAGGCGCCAGAAGCGCTCCGCTAAGGCTTCTTCCAGCTCCGGGGCGCCTGAGGGAACCGCCCGGGCCTCCCGCGACTCGCGGCCCTAGGCGCCCACCAGAGGCTTCGCGGAGCGGCCTCCCGCCCCGGCCCGGGCCTCCCGCGCCCGTACCTGCCGGACCCGGTGCAGGGCATCCACGAAGCCCTCAGCCTTCATGCCCACCGGAGCGCTCTGCCCCTGCACCAGCTCCGCCATGGCCAACCCCACCGCCACCGCCGTCGCTCTGCTTCCCCGGTCCGGCCTCCCACTCCGCTCCGGGACCCGTAGCCGGAAAGGGAAAGTCGCCCCACTTCCGGCGGAAGGGAAGCGAAGGGAAGGCACTGCCCGCTCAGAGAGCGAGAGACAGAGAGAGAGAGAGAGAGAGAGAGAGAGCGAGAGACAGAGAGGGAGAGGGAGAGAGAGAGATAGGTTGGGGGAAAGCGGCGTCTGTGAGGCGGGGTCTCAAAACACGTGACCGCTGTCCGGCGGAAGTGGAGGCGTGGCCGTGGCGCGAGGGGCTGGCCTGCCCTAGGCACAGGCAGCTGTCCGTCCAAAAAATCCAGTTTGCGACCCCACCCTCCAAAGGCTTGGGCCCCAGGCCTTCAGCATTGGTGGGACCGTCCTTGGGGCGCAGGTGCAGCCGTGTATAGTCCCTGCTGTCTGTTTTTGCAACCTGACAGAAGAGAAACGTGGATGTGGCTCTTCCAACATCTCACTCATGCCGTCTAGGTGCACGGGCAGCCCCCTCCCTCTCGAAATAGTCGTGGTGTGCTGCATTGACTGGGACTGAGTGCCTTTACGTGGTACCAGGACCGTCAGTAGGGCAGTGTTCCGCCTTTGCAGGGAGTCCCAGGCTCCAGGATGGGCCATCAGTTTGCCAAGGATGGGTTTGATGACACCTCAAGAAGCCTGGTGTCCTGTTTCACATTCTTGCACTAGGGTAACAGGAAATACCATAGGACCATCATTGCTTCCGGGCCTGCTGAGGCAAGAGACATTTAGGAATGTTTGAATGCTTGGGGGGGGGGGGGACAGTACTGATTTCCCAAAGCAGGGAGTATTACTTCAGAATATGCTGCCTCTGTTAGAACAAAGAGTTACACCCCACTGTACCAATGCGTTTGGCAGGTGGATTTGCCCAGGAAGATCAGGAGTTCAAGGTCATCATGACTTAGTTATAGGCCACCCAGTGCTAGCTCCTTGAGACTCTATTTACTCTTCTTCCATCCTTCGTTTTTGTGTGTGCGTGGAGAATGTGTCACCACATACATGTGGAAGTCAGAGGGCAACAGGTTATCAGGCCTGGCAGCAAGCACCTACACTCCTGAGCCACCACATCAACCACGGGGCCCTCGTTTTGCCTTGTATTCCTAGAGTTTGACACATAGTAGGCGCTTAGGAAACTAATTCTGAGTTAAGTAACGCTGACTCTGAATGATTCCTAGATTACGGCAAAATCAAAGAACCTGACCAAATTGCACAGCTGGAAGTTGATCGCGTTTGGACAGATCATTTCAAAACCCATAGGGAAGACTGAGCCGCCACTCTGGACAGTGGAGAGTTTTCACTGTCTATGCTTGAAGACTCAAACACAGAGTTTCAACCTTAAGAACAGACATGGTCCTACTTGACATCTGTTTTACCAGGGATGCCCCTGTTTTTACTGTTTACACCTTTGAGGAAATACTGTCCACTCTTCATGCTCCAGCTGGCTTCCCCCGTTGAGTAGACATGGGGTAAAGCATTAACTGCCAGGGGTATTGCCTCAGAAAGGTCGCAGACTTAACAAGGTGGCAAGATTCTAGTTCACCCTCTTTCTGGTTGAGAAAACTCTGTCTGGTCAATTATCTCTGGGGGTTGGAGGGGACCAGAAGGAGAAGATGACTCCATCCTGGTCAGGTCATTGTGGCGTGCTCTGCTATTCAGGGCCTCATTAGCTAACACTTATTCCAAACTCCCTGTTGATTTGGTTGGCTCTTGGTATCTGTTCAATGAATACAGGTAAAGAATTTTGTCCAAAGAGGACAGGGAAAGCATTTTAGACAGTAAATGCAGAAGTGTTGCTGCTGCCGCCCAAGTGGACCACAAGTGGCCCAGTCTAATTTGTTTAATAAATCATTAAGGATAATTCCAAGCTTTCAAGGTGGCACAGGTACGACAGGGGTTCTTGTTTTTCCTTCTGCCTTTTTCAATAGCTAACTTTGGTGATGCATACTCACTCAAAAGGGATTCAAACTCAGAAATAAATGCCTAGCTGAGATTGGCTGCAATAAAGGACTGATCGGTGGGAGAAGGAGGTGAGGTCACTCTGAGCTGTACAATAAGGGTTAGCCTGTGCTAGACCCTGTCTCAAAACAACTAAAACCCAAACAAACTGCATACACACTGTGGTTGTAAGTAGCTTTGCCTCTGAGATCATCAAACTATTCCTCAGGCTGGAGAGACAGCTCCGCCAGGAAAGGAAGTGCTTGCTGCACAGATGTGAGGCCAGTCTCCAGAACTCACATGGTTCTGGAGCTGGGGGAAATGGCTTATCCATTAAGAGATCTCACTGCTCTTGCAAAAGACCCTGCTTTGGTCCCCAGTCTTATTCCCTACATCTTGTCAAGTCCAGACGCATCCAGAACAGCTCCAGAGAAGCAACGTCCAGATGCTCCATCTCCTGTCACACATACAGCTGCTTCTACTGGACCTGTTCCTTCTGGCCTATCCTGAGATGGCTCCACAGACCCTGGACATCAGAACAGCCAACTCTCCTAAGACCGGACAAACATCCCCCATACCCATTCTTCTAGGTTCCCTCTAAAGACATGTCACCCCCAATGCCAGCAGGAAGTAGCCAGATATCACGACGACCCTATTCCTGCTTCTCTGTCACCTCTAATTTTTCTTTTTTAATTAAACCAAAATGTGGGAATGTTAGTATTCTGTCTAAACTCCACCTCCACAGTTACCTGGCAACAGCCAGGTATGCTCCTCCTCACAGTTACCTGACAACAGCCAGGTAGGCCTGCCCACTATAAAAGGGGCTACCTGCCCCCTCCTCACTCCCTTGATCCCTTGACCCCTCGCCTGCAGGTTCTCTCCCCTCTCCCCTCCCCCTTCCCCCTCTCTCCATGTGGTCATGGTGGGCCTCCACTTCTCTCCTCTCTCTCTCCTCTTTCCCCTACCATCTTCTCCTGCTTCTCTCCAACCCTCCGCCCTGAATAACCCCCTCCTCTCGTGGAACTGTCTGGTCTGCTATGGTCTGTTCCAAGCTGCTCTCGAAAGTCTCAGCATCAATGAAGGAAAGGGGACCAATGATGGAAAGGGATGTCTCAGCGGACCCATGCCAAGACATCTCTTCCCCCCTGAGGGACCAGCCACACAATGGTATAGCATAGAATAGAGTTTATTCGGGGCATGGGGAGGGGGGCCAGGAGGGTAGTAGAGGCAGAAAGAGAGAGAGAGAGAGAGAGAGAGAGAGAGAGAGAGAGAGAGAGAGAGAGAAAGAGAGAGAGAGAGAGAGAGAGCAGAGAAGTAGAGGAACAGAGGCTGGCCATGACCACATGGAGAGAGGGGGAAGGGAAGAGGGGAGGGGAGAGGGGGCAGAGAACTTGCAGATGAGGGGTCAAGGGATCAAGAGAGTGAGGAGGGGGCAGGCAGCCCCTTTTATATGGGCAGGCCTACCTGGCTGTTGCCAGGTAACTGTAGGGAGAAGCATACCTGGTTGTTGCCAGGTAACTGTGGGGAGGAGCATACCTGGTTGTTGCCAGGTAACTGTGGAGGTGGAGTTTAGACAGAATACTAACACCCAGTACCTACCTCAGATGGCTCAGGACTTTCTTAAAGTCCAACTCCAAAGGATATAATACTCTCTTCTGTCCTACTTGAGCACTACACAAATGTGACACATACACAAAAATTATTTTAAAAAATATTTAGCCAGGCAGTAGTGGCACACACCTTTAATACCAGCACTGGGGAGGCAGAGGCAGGCAGATCTCTGAGTTTGAGGCCAGCCTAGTCTTCAGAGTAACTTCTAGGACAGCCAGGACGACACAGAGAAACCCTGTCTTGAAAAACCAAAACACAAAACCAAAAAAGCTAGGTCTGCTGGTACATGCCCGTAATCCCAGAGCTGGATGTATGCAGGCAGGGGTGGGGTGGGGTGGGGAGTAGAATTTGGTTTGAACGAGAATGCCCTGCCTCCATAGGCTCATATCTTTGAATGTTTCCATTGGTAGACTGTTTAGGAAGGATTAGTGGTGTATTCTTGTTGGAAGAAGTGTGTCACAGAGCTAGATTTTGAGGTTTCAAAGGCCCAAGCCAGGCCCAATCTCTCTCTCTCTCTCTCTCTCTCTCTCTCTCTCTCTCTCTCTCTCTCTCTCTCTCTCTCTCTTTCTCTCTCTCTGCCTGAAAATCAAGATATACAACTCTCAGCGACTGCTGCAGACCCATTCCTGCCTACATGCTGCCATGCTCCCCACCATGATAACAGACTAACTCTCTGAAACCATAAGCAAACCCCCAACTAAATGTTTTCTTTTTATAAGAGTTGCTTTGGTCATTATGTCTCTTCACAGCAACAGAACAGTAAACTAAGACATGGAGACAGGAGGATTTGTCTAGCCAAATTGGGGAATGCCAGTTTCATTGAGAGAGCCTATCTCAAAAAATCAGATGGGCAGCAAGCTGGGCTGTGGTGGCAAATGCCTTTAATCCCAGCACACAGGAGGCAGAGGGAGGTGGGTATCTGTAAGTGTGAAGGCGACCTGATCTACAGAGCAAGTTCTAAGAAACAGATGGACAGCAATGGAAGGAAGACATTCAACATGTGTCAGCTACGCCAGCATAGCTGACTCAGTTCCTTGGATCAGCGGAGGGCTGAGGGCGAGAGAAAGAAAGACAAGGAGTCATCTGGTAAAGACCAAATGCTGTATTTTCAACTGCGTAGCTCCCTTTTATACTCCCCACAAAACAGGAACACAAACAGGAACAGGAACAAAACAGGAACAAGGAGATACACTTGGCAGCCTATCACCTAAGTTTGGATTTCTCCTTGAGTAGTCTTCTGGGGAAATGCATAGTGACGGGGAGCGGGCACAACAGCACAGGTGCAGGGGATGGTGACTCACAAACATGGACCTTTGACTTTCATCTGTGTGAAAACATATATCCATGCACTCATACAAACAACATACACATCCAAACACAAGTAAATGAGTTGCTTTTCTCTCTGATATTTGGGAATAT